GCTGGGACCAAACCTTCGCCCGAAAAACGAAACAGCAAATGACGTTCAGGTCTTCGTCGTGCGCCTTTTTGTCCTCTGACCACGATGCAATTTTCCAGTCCATGACCTGTTACGCCCACATGTCACTCGATTTGTGCTGTGCCCTCTTGCGACACCGACACACTGGGTGGGGTGCGATCTGCACAGAAGCACCTCTCCTGGTGCCGGGGCATCAGCAGTTTGGCGGACTTTATTTTGAGGTGGGAGTCCCACTGTGGCTTCGGAACGCTTCGGAGCTACCGTCACAACGTGGTAGGGCTTCGGGCACTTCGGGCCTACAGAAAACCAAATGTCCCCAACGGGTAGCCGAAGCAGAAACACGATCCTCTCAGCTGCAGCGAGCGCCCTCATCACGGGGGGATAGTGCCTCATCCAACGAGGACAAGTTTTGTGGACCGCCTTTCATGATGACACCAAGCCCATCACGCTTCGTAGAATGCGCATCGCAGTTCAAAGCCTTTGTGGGCACGGCCGATGAAGCCCAGCAGTGCCTCGCACCCAGCACCGAAGTGACCCCTGGCGCCCCCGGGTGGCGCAATCTCGGGAGGAGCACGCCGGGCACCTCCTCCAGTCCGTTCGAGAGCCACTGCCACTGCTCCGAACTCCGAGGTCCGCTCCTCTACACTTGCCGTCACAAGCTGTAGTTTATCTCTAATCGTATATTGCGCAGAAGGCAACTACAGCACATTCAAGAGGAGTCAATGATACGGCAACCGTGGACAAGCTGTAAGACCTGAGGCTGTGTCTCCCGCGTGCCCATTGAAAGGCGTGCGAATCGCTGCGAGCCCGCCACACCACGATTGAAGAACACCTTTCGCATGGTGGTCGTTGCATCCGTTGTGAGGGACTAGGACTAGGATTCCTCTCTCCGGCCTGGTGGTCATCATCAGCGGCAGGGGTCACAACCTTCAGCTCCACCTCTGAATCAAGCCCGCGCGTTTCCTGCAGTATGCTTTCACATTGACGCTCGCCTGGGCTGCCACATGCAGGCCTGGGCCGCGTTTCGCTGGGCCTGCAACATCATGCTCTTAATGCCCGGATACTCGGCACGATTGAATCTCCCACCTCCTGAGGGCGAAGAGTCTATGCCGACTTGGGGGTCGCCGTGGATGGCATAGAGCGTATATCGGTACCTCAATTTCGGGTCTGTCTAGTCGCCTCTCGTGGCTGCCCTGCGCCCGCCTGCTGTTCGGCTTGGTCGTGTAATCTCCTAACCCAACATGCGAATCTTCACATGCGGTTGGAGACCAATGCTGTGAGGTACTGGCCCCACTTGAACTCCTGGATGGCACACCTCAAGGCCTGAGGCCATCAAGGGATTGCGGTGATACGAGAACGTGGCACGGCGACATGAGGGAAGGGCTCGCCGCCATCCTCCTCCCAGAGCACGAGGCTGACCAGGCAATTCAAGGCTCAATGCTTTCGTTGTGTTTCGCTCATGCAAACGGACCCTGCAGGGCCGTCCGTTCAGCTTCTATGCGGCATTCGCTCGTGGCGCCCATCACGTGCTTCCAAACTTTGGTCAAGAAGGCAGCGCATTTCCGCTGTGTCCAGAACGAATCGGCCATTCCTGGACTCGACTCTGGAAACGCTACACGGAGGCGCAGAGGCGCACGTGAAGAACGCGAATACCGTTCGCTGGGCTCAGCTGTCTTCCGATTGCCGTGCTTGCATCGCCAAGAGCTGCAAGCCCTCCACGGTATGCATGCGGACAGCTTGTCGCCTTTCCCTGGCAAAGAGAGGGTGCAGAGCCTCGTCAAAATGTTGCAGAGCCTCCGGGCTCTTCCTCGCATCAAAAAACGAATCTGCAGCCAGCAGATCTCCCAGTTCCTCGAAGCCTTCCTCCAAAGCCACCAGTGCGAAGGGTCTTCGATCCTCACGCGTGTAGCATGACCTGCCCAACCGCGCCAGCGCAACGAACTTTGCAAACCGGTCAAAAGCCTCCCGTGAGACAAAAAGCTTGTCCACGTGACTCAACAGAATGTCACGATCACTCGCCACTGAAAACTCCGCAGTCTCAATTGAGATGAGCCGTATTACGTCGGCATACAGAGACACGGGAAATCCGTCTTTCCTGCGATCATGTTCTGAGAGCCGATTCCAAGTTCTGGCATTCAGTGTGACAGGACGCCTATGGTTATTGACTTAAGCAAGATATCGTAACTGCTGCACAAACCTCGTTAACCGCCATCACAACTGATCATGAATGCTGCTGATGTTTGACGCGCTCACTGCAAATCTGAGTTGTTGCCAATCTACGATGTACCGACTCTACGTCCCCGATATGACTTTCAGGAGCGGGCACGGAGAGGAACGATCAAAATTCATGCCCCGCCAGCCTGCTGCCGAAGGATACGAAAGCTTTCCAGGCTATACCCAGGGCTGCAGGGTCGTCCGGAGCTGTCGCCAGCTTCGATGCGAACTCGAATAAGCACCATCCTCTATTAATGGGGCGCTGTAGGGCTATAAGACCATCCTCTGCAAGGCATTCATAGGGCTAGTTAAGCGAATCTGGTCAACACCCTGGATCGGGAGCTGCGGGACCTTGCAACGAAGCCTTTAAGCACTCTCTCCTCGGGAGAAGTAATGGGGCGAAGCTACGGCAATCATCGCTTTCGCGAGGAGGATGTACTCGAGTAGAAAGAAAGACTGGCTCTTGGCTAACTCGAAGATTGGCCCATGTTGCGGCAGGCTGGCTCTCTCGATCCAGAACCGAAGGTCGCGCGGGTGAAGTTCGCGCTGCCCTCGGCACTCCAAGTACCTCGAATCTGACAGAGCATCCGGCCGCAACGCAAACTCACAAGATGGTTCATGCCCGAATCCCTCCATGCTTTCCGGGAGCAGCGACTTTGCCTGCGCCTGCGCATACCAGTCGCGGGCATCGGTGAAAATCTCAGGCCTGCCCTGCTGCTGCTCTATCGATGGAAGGAAAGGAGTCTCGCCCGCAGCGACGCCTGCAAGCCAAATCCAAACAGTCAACATACACTTTCGGTTTCACTGAGCCCCCGAACCGCCACGACTGATTTTCCCAACCTCTCCGTGCATCAAGACCAGAAGGGGGCTCCCACGCATAGGAGATGAAGTAAAACCCGGCATCTTCCGCGGATCCGAGCTCAAAGGCTTGAGCCTTCAGGTTGTAGTGGTCTTCTGCCTCGAGCTGGCACTTCGTCTGCCGCAGAAAGTCGCGCACCGAGCTCTGAGAGTAGGCACTGACCTGTCACTGAAGTCTCCCAACATCAAAATCGGAATACTGACACAGGAATGGTGGTCATAAGAGGTACCGGGAAGATGATATTCAGCTGGATATCTGGAGGCTTCCCGCAATTCTTACGGTAGTGGGTAAGGGCCCTCGTTGGATTCTTGTTGGTCGTCTTCTTCTCTCATTTGCCTCGTCGCCCCTGACGACACGAAGCAGTTCCAGTGCCCGGGCGAAGTCCGTCGGAAGCTCAGAATGCCGAGCCCCAAACCCGTCGAAGCTCTCGCTTTGCTCTGACGGCTGTGGCTCCATCGGAGATTCAAGAGGGGGAAAAAAGAACCAAGATGGCTTCGGGAAAAGGATGTGACGGCTACTGGCTGAACCAGCTCTGCAGCTTCGCAGGCCTCTTCCAGCAACTCAACTTCATCGACAGCTTCCTCGGTCGGAGTCCCAGCTGCCTCGCCTATCAGCACTGCTTTACGGCTTGCGAGGCAGAGGCAGCTGGCCACAACTCCGTTCCAACATCTGCGCCAAGCACCAGTGAAAGCTTTCTTGCAAACACTTGCGACCACATGTGCCTTCGCTCCATTTACCACGGCGCGGGTCGCCGAACCAAACCTCATGGCTCCAATACAGGAGAAGTCCACACACCTAGCGATCGAGTTCCTTAGAGGAGGCAGAATTCTGCTGAGATCAGATCTGTCTCAGCTTCACCGCCTGCCAGGGCCTCCTGATACCAAAGCCCAGCGAAACTAACAGCACCTCGACTGTTTCGACATGTCCATCCCCTGTCATGGTGCCTCCTTCTTCTCCTCTGTCCTGCCTTTGTGCAAACAACACGCCAAAATGGACTTGACTGGAAGTCGGGGCTTGACATCACGAAGCTCTGTACCTTCAAACCAACTCCGAGGCTTTTTCATCTTCCATATATGTTTAGCTGTGTACCTGGGGGTCTGGCTGACTGCGAAGCCAGCCTGGGTTAACAACCCGCCCATCAACACGTCCCTCTACAGTTGCAGACGTGCACCGAGTTGAAGAACATGAGAAAAAGAACGAATTGCAATAGTCAGCCCAGCAGCTAGACCGTCAAGCAAGTGGCCTGCCGTCTCGTCCACATCGAAACCTTAAGCACACGAATGCACATCAAGTGAGGGTTCTGGCATCTTTCAGCTGCTTAGTCATGTCTCGCTTCAAACCTGCAGGGCGCGGCTCAGCAGTGTGGCCTGGCAACCGCATATGGCCACCACACTCAACGGACCGTTTGCGGCAGCAAACCTTTCATGAGCCACATGAACTGAAGTCGGGCAAGGAACACACGTTTTTCCATTGCAGAGCATTTCAGGCGTGTTGGCTGAGTGTCTGGCCGACACATGTGCCGAGCCGACGGATAAGCCAGTCAAATGGCTACGAGACGGAGATCGTGCAATGCGATCCGTCATCCGACGGAGCGACGACAAGAATGATTTTGAAAGCACCCTTTCGAAGGCTCGGCACTCGAACTTTTAGCGCGCAAAAGCGGCAAGCCAAACGCGACGAGCCATTTCAGAGCTCCGGAGCAGCTGCGAGTGCTGCGGCCCAAAGGGACAATCAGCCCGGGCTGACCTTGGTCCACCTTCTTTTGCGAGATATACGTAATGGGGGTAACAATTCGAGATCCAGGGTTTGGCGTGTTGGGGCGTTGGGGTGTAGGGTAACATGAAACAATAAAAAGTTACCTCCCTAGTAAGTTTTATGTGTGTATAGATGGGTGTGTGTGTGTGTTTGTTTAACGATTGCGTTCACCGACGTTCCAGTCGTAGGAGGCCGCCAGCTTCTCCAGCCCGGCACTTCTGCAGGCTGCAGCGACAGAGCCTGGGCAGAACGGAAAGTAGGGGATCACATGGGCCCCCGATGCTCTCGCCAGGGTCGGGCACCGAAAATGAGCTGCTTTGGCTCGATGTCCAAACTCTGCATCTCAGCCATCAGATCCTGCAACATCCAAATCCGAAGGATGCGAAGCCCCTTCCGTGTCGAGCAGTGACAGGCTTGTGGAGAGAAGCTAGACACTAGAAGTATCTCGCTCACCGGACTGCAGTCCAGCGCAAGCTCCCAGCAGCCGGAATCTTCGCAGGACTGGATGGCATATCCTTGGCTGTTGCAAGCGGAGTTGCAATCCTAGGCGACTCACAGGATGTGGCTCCATTTTCCAAGGATCGATATGTCATCAGGTTAGGGATGATCCCCGACTCCTGTGGGGTACCAGCCGAGAAGCTGCAGCGGCAGTCAATTGAGATGTTCAGGGCTGAGCACACTGCGTGCCTGCATCTCTTCCATCAGTATCAAGGCCAGCTCAAGCTTCCCCGCCGCCGCGCAGGAGCTAAGGGCTGCATTGTAAGTCCTGCATGTCGAGTATGCCCTTCGGCCCCAACTGTGCCAGCTGTCGAGCTGAAGTCTCTTGCACTCAACCCGGCCTGACACTGGCACCCTTCACTTGCCGGTTATTCTCGTGCAAGATCGAGATGGCGAGCTCCTTGGTAAGTCTGTCTTGGACCCATCGTCACGCACGACGCGTTGAGGCTGTAGCCCACTGACTGGCCTTCGCGCACGCACTGATCGCAGCCTTAGACATCATGAGCTGGCAGTCTGAAACCATCTCGATGGAGAGTCGAGAAACACACACTTGCAAATAGTCAAGACTCTTCCCCTGCTGTCGTCGACTGTTTTGAGCCACACACACCCTCGACACACCAAGTTTGAGATCACCCGAATCGAGCCACTCGCATCGGGGCCAATCTCCACAACTGCCATGCAATGACGTCTGCATGGCTAGAGCAAGGCATCAGCTCTTGCCGTGTGCAATGCCGACACTATTACTATCATCGCTACTCGCGGAGACCGTGTGATTATGATGACGATCATGCTCGTCAGAAGTTCTGTATGGCACTTCGCCCAAGAGATGATGCTTGGAGAAATCGTGCATGGAGGCCGTGTTTTAGACACTGGGCCGATCATGGGGCGCTACACTCGGTGCTGCACTTGTTGCACCAATTCTCTGCTACGACACTATGACATCTTGTAGCACAACTTCAGTTGAAGCTAAGACCGGTCCGATTGACCGGAAACAAGTAAGACAAATATTCAAGCTAACGATGGCCAGGGAACTTCCGGTGCACCTCACCGCGTGGTCACAGAAACCTAGCGCGCGAAGGCGGTCTTTCAAAAATTCAAACACGTGCACTGGACATCCTCTCATTTCGCTGCATGCACTTCTGCAATTGCATGGCTGCCAAGGTGTCGGTCTGGTCCATCTGGTCCATGTCAGAATACACTGCAGTGGCCCATTCAAGAACTGCCTGTGAAAAACCTTCCTCTCGGTTCAAAGTGGACAGCTGTCGGGACAGCTCTGGTAACCTCGCAGAGGATTCGACTTCTGCCCACCGAGACACCAAGCTGCTCAAACTCGTGATGTTTGGGCCTGGCTGCCGGTGGTGTGCATGGAACATGTCTTCTGGCCGGTTTGGGAGGTGAGCTAGAAAGCCTTCTCCGGACCTGTTGGCCCGATGCCCTGCTGGCCCTTTAGGCCAAGGGCAGCATGAGCATGGGGTCTGCCTGTTCAAAGCTGGATTGGTCTTTCCAGTCCCCTCTTCGGGGATGGGCTCCGCATTCCGAGGCGAAGGCGAAAAGAAACCTTCTGTCCAGCTGGCAAACCGACCACTCAATCTACTGCTCTGGCTGCGAGCTTCGTCTTGTGGCTCAGAGTCTCCGGTATCCAAACCAAATAGTGGCGTCAAGGGAGAACGCAGCCATGACATGCGCACAGCTGCCCCAACTATGCCACCAGCATCTGAGCCTAAAACCTGCAGCAGCTAGTTCAGCTACTTGTACGTGCTTCACTTCAAGGACACAAGGTATCACTTCTTTCAGCGCACCCACGAATGCACTGAGACAATGGCAGTGCAGGCGAACATGTCGAAGCCGAAGTACGACTGCTGTGCGTGTCCTCGGCTGTTTAACCCCCCAGCGATGCAGAGGAGTCAAACCCCGAAAAGGCCTGCTTAGGTCCGCTGGCTCGCAATTAGCACTGTCGAACCACCGTCTTCAGATTGCATCGCAAGGTTCTCAGGTAGGCCACGGCTGTTTGCCATTGCTGGCCCCATCCTCAAAAGCTGCTGTCAAACATGTTTGGCACGTGGATCGTGACTTCAGATATAGCTGCTGGCTACGACCTGGAGAAAAAAGTCGTGCACTTTCACGAAGGCCAAGAAACCACAGGCTGCAATCAGCGTGCCGTAAGTCACCTGGAGACAGCGAAGCGCTTGACTACAACAACCAACGACAATTACTGTGGCCAAGCTGCTTTATCTGGCGGTATGTCCTCAGCCGCTCAAGACATTGGGACAGATTGAAAGAGCCGGCTGCGCACAGCATTCTGAATCAAAGCGGCCCATTTACACATCTCCGAAAAAACACGATCGGCGGCGTCGTAGTCACGGCCCTTCTCACACGCTGACATGACGGTGTTGTAGGTCACGACCTGTGGATGAACCAGTGTACTCTCTGGACTGGCCCTCAGAAAAAACAAGCAATCCGGGATATTGAAGACCAAGTGACATCAGGCGTAACAGAAGCAACTTCCATGTCTTGCAAGATCTGCACAGCCTCGCTTGTTGGCGGCAGACTTGGGTTTCCGCCGACAGAAGGGGCCCAACACTCGTCACTCGAGGCCTAGGCACTGACCACTCTAGACACCGTTTGGTGGACTTGCAATCTCCGCGTCCCGACAGCATTCGGAACACAGCTACAGCATGTGGCATACCCAAACCCTGTAAGATCGTGAGGCCACCTTCATGCAGCCTCGTAGCCACCTGCCATGCGCCGGCGGCCTTGCAGCTCGCAATGGCCGCAGTGTACCCACGCAAATCCGCCTGCAGCGCAAGGAGTCCTTCACGTTCCTCTCTGCATGCGCAGTGCTGAAATCTGTGCACGGTGCCTGCAGGTCCTCGCGGCGGCGACCTTCAAAGACCATTTCCAGGTCGACAAGCACAAAACACATTCTAGTCCGCTGCGGCCGCTGCCTAGAGACAGGTGCGGGGGACGCTTCCCAAGAAGTTCCTGGAAGAGCTCGACGGCCTCCTGCGCATGGGCCGCATGGCCACCATGTTGTGCCCTTCTCTGGTTCTCTGCTCACCGTCCGCCAGCCTGCCAGTGCGAGCCTTTCGCGAATGCAGACATTGCAAGGACGAAGTCCGGCTCTTCTAGCTCGCTGCCAATCCAGCGCATCCTCGTTTTTGGTTCAAACATTCCCAGAAACCGAGAGACACTCATCGTACAGTTGCAAGATCATGCAATCAAGCTTGAAGTTTCCCCTCGAACACACGCCAGCGACTCTGCAACCAGCTGATTCTGACCCTAATTATGTAAAGAATATAGAACGAAATCTTGTGCGCTGTGGGTCGACACAGCAACAAGGACTGAGCCTCTTGTGCGGCAAGGTGCTCATCCCATATGCTAACAGCATCCTTCCACGCAGTTCGTCGTGTCAGCGTGTTAAGCCTCATGGTGAAGAACTTGATGCCTTCACCCTGATCTGACAGTCGGGCTGACGCTGGGTTCAAGCAAGTCGCACGAAACGATAGTCACCTGGGTCCTCCAGCAAATGCTCATCCTCAGATACTGCAGGAGCAGGTTTAAGGCAACCTGGCATTGCCTAACAAGCCCTGCCAATTTTGCCGCGGAGCGCGAAGCTTAGCAGCGGCTGCGCTCACCTGCTCTGGGCTGCTTTTCCGGTCGCGGATAGCACGCACCTGCGCCCGACAACCGGATGGTAACGGATATGTCTCGACTCACACACTCGCAAATGCAGGCATGGCAATAAGTGTGCGAGATTACGGATATGATTAATATTGGGATAGTGCTAGCAAGCCACATTCGTCTGCCCGATATTCCCGACTGACAACCCGGCATGCTGTCCCTACAGCTCAACTCAGTCCAGAACGCAGAAACACCCGAGGCACCAAAGCGTTCATGGCAAAGGCGAGGCCCCGCTGAGGCAGAGCAAGAGCAAAGAAAATGCCAAGCCAACCTGGCGCCGTGGAACTGAAAAGCCATCCCCGCAAACGTGCTTCTTAAAGCCGAAGCAAATCGAAGCAAAGAAGTCTCTTCTGCTGTTATAGCCATGCAACATTTCCAGTGCCGCCGGGCTGGCATTGAGCCTTTCCGAAGTCTGCACGTGTCTGATTCTAAGCTTTGCATAAGGAGCAGAGTGTCAATATCGTGGCTGACTCCATCACTTAGTCAACTAGGCCGTGCTCAACTCTTTTGCTTCCAAGTATCTGATGTGACCGGATTAACACGCTGTGCTATAAGAGTGTTACAATGTGTTACATAGTGAAATAGTCAAAGTCTATACGCAGTCATGGCTATTGCCACTACAATCTGGCAGGTCCGGAGAAATCACGAGTCGCAACTTGTGGAGGCACAGGCCTCGGTTCGCTGTGGCATGGCGCTGCCGCTCCATGTGGGCTGCTTGTTAAGCATTGGCAGCAGTGACGCTTCGCGGATGCAATCGCAGGTGCATCGATACTTGTGCTATCATTGTCATGAGACATGTACGTCGCGATGGCGATGGTCGGTGGGTACAGCACTTCGACATGTGTGGGTGCTCGGTGGAAGGCATGGAACCTGGGAGATGCCATGAAAGCCATGCGCATCTCAACACTTGCTCGGACGTTTTCGGAACCCTGGTGACATAGATCCGGCAAGCTTCAGCGCGTGACATGCAGTTGCATCAGATGCTCAACACTTCCATGCCAACGCGCGCATTGACGCTGTAGTTCTCAAGTGTGTGACAGTGTGTGTAGCCAGAAATATTTCTCGGCTGGACTTGCGCTTGCCACCACATTTGGTAGCGTGAATTCCCCTTCAAGGGTAGTTGGCTCCAGGCATGCATTAAGAAAAAAACTAGGCTGTACACATGCAGGTCTAAAAGCCGTTTACATTGCACAGCCCTGAAGTCATCGAAGAGCCTTTGATCTATCTGTGACAGACGACTGTCGAAGCAGTGGCAACGAATTCGGCGGGAGAGGCGCTGGACTCTTTGGCAATGCAGGTAGTGACTTGCTGCGGAGGAAGGCACCTACGCGTAGAGAGCAGCTGAGCGGCAAACAAGAGCAAACACCGTGCAGCTGCGCAGCTGAAACCTGTAAAGATCGTCTCAGATTCTTGCCTCCTCTTCTGGTCCCCTCACCTGCTGGCCAGGGCCTGCACTGGCAGTCTCCAAGCGATTCACTCCCGCACGACGAAGTGATCAAACACATTGATGGCAGAGTTCCCATCTGCAGAACTTGCTTGCCCGTTTGCAAGCCTTGTTGGTACAACTGTTGTGAGCTACTGATCCTATGTTCCTTGCAGCCCAGTCAGGATATTTCGAGATTGGCCCTTCACGCATTGCAGTGGCTGAGCCAGTGTTGCCTTTTTCCTCTCGCCTGGCCACCGCCGCTCTGCCTGTGAGGCCGCTTTGCGAAGTGTGGGCCTCAGCTAGCTGTCAAGTCTCGGATCGCAGCCACCCGGGCCCGCGTCCAATCCTCGGTAGAAGTAACATCACGGACTCGTTCGGATATGTTCGGATACCCGATGCACGAGCTACTACAACGAACGGTATGATGGTTACAGTTGGAAGCATATGGTACTATGGTCATACATGCATACATATATGTATATATATATATATATATATATATTCTTAAGAAGGTTTGATTGGGCACGTCGTGCTCCAAATTGCTCCATGGAGGCCGGGTCTCTAGGATCTGCTGCTGCGTCGCCAGCAAATGCCACTGCGGAGATCCACCACCACAGGAGAGTTTCTGGGCCAGTGGAAAGGGCCCCCAGCAAGGATGCGCAATGCACAATGATTGGATCATCGTCAAGTTCTGCAGTAGACTTTACAGGAGAAGCCTGCCGAAAGGTGATTCCGTTCGAGGATCCGTTGAATGAACCTCGTGAAGTGAAGAAACGCCACCCACAAGCAACCCCTGCAACCCCACCCCCACGGCAAATATGTCCAACACCTGTTGAAGTTCATTGGGGCTATGAATGAGAAACTATGAAAACGGATTATGAGCGCCTACGTCACTACTGGTATCATGTATACAGATGCAGCGCTATCCGCAGCAGCTGTCTGACGCTTTACTTCGATCAGTCTGAAGATGCATGACCGGCCACGCACGTTGTCGACAGGCCGTCGTCAAGCACCACACGCGCCGGTGGTTGCCTGCAACATAGCTGGAATCGCAACGGGTGAGAAGCCCTCTGAACGCTTAGTTTTACTTCGCGTCGCTAAAGTCGCCAAGGGGCTCTAGAATTGCTGGGCCCACCGGCCCAACACATCCGCGGGGCTGCCTGAAGTGTTCACGCAGTTCCTGGCAGGAAGCCGAGCTTTGACACATCGACTCATATCGACCTCTTAAGGCCAGCCCTCCGGTTTTTCGCATTCAATCGAAACTTCTGCTCCTCGCCCGTCACGAGTCGTGCAGAGGTGCAGTCCATCGCTTGTGCAAGCCGCGGCATACCTTGCGAGAACTCAGGCGGTCTCTCAAGTAAATAACACTTGCACAGAATGGGATCAAAAGCCCTTGCGGATCCTCGCACATTCTCTCGCCCCAGACTTCTTCGCTTTGACGTCAAGCGACTCAGGCTCGCCGAACCGTCAGCAAAGACCGCCAAGCAGAAGTGCGATTGACCTGAGTTGTTGATTGAATCCGGTGGGCTTGGTGTCGGCATGGTATCCATGTGCTGGCCTGAAGAGTCAACAGCTAAACACGCGAGCGTCTTGCAAACTTGCACGTCATCGAAGCCTTGCGCAGGCAATCGAACACCACAGGCGACAAACTCAAGAAAGTGTAGATGCCACAGGCAAGTCCAAGCGGCAGCCATCCCCCCAAAACAGAATCGAGTCATCAGCCACGCCCAGCTCTCGCAAGGCCATTGCAGTTGCACAAACGCCTGCAGCGGCTCAGGGCTGAAGAGATCTTCAAAGATCCCTTTCTTTCTAAGCTCATGTTGTCCTGATCCAAGGGCAAGCCCAGAATGAGAGAACCTGCAGCGCGATCTGCGCGAGTTCCGAGGTTGCAGCTTTATAAGGTGTGAGGGTGCCCCAAGTTGGGTAATTGCTCAGGCCAGGTCACGTTGCGGCCGAGGAGACGGACACCCTGGCGAGCTCACAAAGTTCTGCCTTCTCCTGAAATCTGCGTGAAGCTATGAGGGAGCTCGCAGTCCGGCAACAGCATGCGATTCGGCTGAAGACCGAGCTTCCATGCCACGGTCTTGCTGCAGAAAATGGCCCAGAAGGGCAAGTAAAACCCATGCATCCAAGGCCGCGTACTGTATGTGGGGATCCGGCAGGGGTCGCAGTTCCCAATTGCTGCCTGGACTGACCAAAGCATTGATGAAACTGAAAAAGCTCTTGCGAACTCGTTGGCGGACTGCTGAACCGGAGACCGCACGTTGTGGGGCAGTCTTAACAACGAAACAAGCCGTGTCGCACTGCAATGTTTTGTCAAGGGAAAGACCCAGTCGCACCGCACAGAGGTAGTCCAGCGAGGAGTTGGGCGCCACGCTACGTGCAAGGTCTTGCATCTCAAGGAAAGGAAAATTGCCGCCGTAGCATCGAGACATTAACCATGGGTAGGAGTCCTTGGCTATTTTGTTTCATTCTATTAGATTGTACATAAAGCTTTTCTATTGAAACACTATTTGCTAGCTTCACCTGAGCACTTAGGCTGCGATGTCCCCAAACTCTTCAGTGTCAGGCGTCTGCCATCCTTCGGATGTCACATTCCAGCCCGAAACCGACCAAGATGTGGCCTGCTTCGCCTGCACAATTATACGATGCTCTCGCAGATCATGTTATACGATACTGTACTATACTGTACTATGTTTCTTTGGCATATGAAATGGTAGTATGTCATATGAAAGAATACTAGTAACCTAGTATATTAAAAAACACCAGTACACCAGGTTTTTGGAAGCGACAGCAACAGGCTCACAGTGTGACTTTGGTACGTCGGTCGGTAGGTAGGTCGGTGGGTGGCTCGGTGACGACGCATGCCTTGCCTTTCTGCAACACCGGTACAAAAGACAATCCTGACCTTCTTTGGGTCGAAGCAAGCGCTGTAATAAGTGCGCAAGCTCCTCCTCGGCCGCGGCCAACAGCGAGGGTATGTCCAGCCTTATGCCGGAGCAGGAACCCGACAGGGGCACGAATCTCCATGCCATTACCATTGACTCCAAGAAGCACATAAGCCGTGTCGGCCCATGCCAACTGGAGTAATCTCGGCTGCGTCAGCATGACAAAACATTACCGCTTTGGCACAGCGAACCCGAACCTGCCTCCCTCGATCTCGTCTAGCTAGCATAAGACACGTGTGCTTCACACAATGTGAGTCGACCATGTAGAAGACATGGCTGCTATGCCGTCGCACCAGTACGGCCACGAATATGCGGCAGAGTTGGCGGCGGAAACCGGACTCATGTGGTGAAAACGCAAGGCATATTATGCAAGAATTGCACCCCCCCCCCCCCCCCCGGGCTCCTGCGAAATTATCTGAGAAAGCCCGTGCGACGCCTGACAAGTGTAGACATGTAGCTGGACAGGGTTCGCCACTTGTCCCCTTCGGGAGCGGGCGCGACTTGGTGAACTCTCATCCCAGGGTTTCCACTCGGCATCCAAGCCAATGACTCCACCAAGTTCAAGACGGCCTTGCAACTCATCCTCGGAAGGCTCGAGAGTCGCTTCAGCAATAGATGAAAAATTGTTGTAGCAACGTGGCCAAAGCACGAGCCCTCATTCACCCTTCACCAAGGTACCGAAAGCAGAAAGGATTTAGTAAAGCAAAACTTGTCAAGCCGAAGGTCCAGACCACTCGCATCTGCAACTAGTTGGATGCGAACCGAGGGCGGCAAGCAGAGGTTTGGTAGAGCCACCAAAGTGTCTGAAGGAGGCTCCCGATTTCCGGCGTCCTCTGTGTAGCCACGTAGTCGACGTACCTCGATCTTTCTGGCGAGCTTCAGCTGACCCGTAGAGGTGAGCATTGCGGACAGCTTCTGGCACAAGCTGGGAACATGCTGGCAGACAAGGTCCAAGATCGTACCATCTGCCGGTGGCATGGTCAACTTGCATGCTATGTCCTCCAAAGGGAATGTCTCGTCAAGTTCCAGGGATGAGCTTGCTGCCAGATATTCAACCAGTCCAGCCAATCGAGAACGATCAGACGAGGCAATGGCTTCTGCAAACAGGGACAGAACCTTATCACGAGAGAGACGTCGCGGCGTGAAGCTGAATCGCGCCGCAAATTTCACCGCGAGCCGCAAGCACAATCCTCCAGAAAGCCCCAATGTCATCACTTCCTCCATGGAATCACTATCTGCACGGAACGTCACAGAGCAGGCAGACGGGACCAGCCCCTGTTCGGAGGGCTTGACAAGCAACTCAAGAATGAAGTGTCCATCACTTCGCTGCGCCTCTTTCAGCAGGAGGCCCAAGGCAGCTGCGACCAGTTTGCAAACCTTCCCGGGCTCAGAAGCTTCAGCCGATTCCAGCGCTGTGCGCAGAGAAAGCCGGCGCTGGAACCGAGACGGGTCGGCACTTCGCCGCCGCTCCTTTGCGAAGAGCACGTAGTCCTGCACAAAAGGAGCGCAGCAGGAAGGTTGGACGGACGAAAGCTTTCAATATTGATCCACAACTGCGATCCAAGGCGATCGCACGGGGCGTTGTTGTGGTACTAAGCAGTTCCTATTCTTCTGGTTGGCCTGCTGTATGGAGCCCAACTGCAGATACTCAAAGCCTAATATGAAAACGAATTGGGCGGATCCCGGCCTTAAGATGATCATGGGTGAGCTCCTCGCTCAATCGCTGCGGCACCGTCGCATGAACCCCGGCACTTTCCAGGCTTGGGGCAAGTTGTCGAGCTGTGTCTGCTAGACGTTCTGAATACTTCCGTCTTTGGTTCGACCACTTGCTGGGCTCACTGACTTGCTGGCCCTGACCTTCCCCGGAGTTCTTCATGCCCTGAGGCCCTCCCGTCATTAGCGTCTTGGGATCCCAAACGGAAGGCAGGATGAAGCCACGGGAGTTCTCTACCCAAAGGCCCTCGACAGGAAGGAGTTCACAGAGCAGGAGCGCAGTATCCACGCTGCGAAAGTGCTCCTCCACGTCTTGCCGTACTTTATCCGGCAGGTCTGTCGGTACGGCATCCTGCTGTCCTGGCAGCTCGTCTCCCAAGATCACGGGTGGACTGCCTGAAGCCACTGCAGGACTGAGCCAGAAAAGCTTGGGGAGCACAGCCAGGCGCGCACCAGGCGAGACTGCCTTCATGGCTTCAGAGACCTGCGTGGTGTACCATCCTGACACATAAACTCACAGAACACTATGCCCACCAAGGCTCCAAGCTGCTGCCCTCACCCCACCGATTGCCTGTCGCACAAGCGGCATTGACTTCAGCCGGAGGATCTCGCAAGGGGCGGCCGATGGCCCAGAACTCTTCCAGGGGCTTGAAGATGTAGCCTCGTGCCATCTCCCAAGCCACAAGTTTCTCAAGGTCACAGCTTCTTCTTTGGCAGACGGGCCTTTGAGGAAGTACACAGACCGAACCGAGACGTCTCCAAACTCCTTCTGCAGATATTCCTGCACCTGAAACTGCAAATGAACAGAGCCGTTGCTTCTGCTGTGCAAAGACAGAGAGCGTCACATTGCCTGCATCTCACGGCCGCAAGGCTGCTTTTTACATTTACAGTGACTATAGCGTGGCCAAGCAGCAGACGAACTTCTCGTGCAGGTGATTTTTCTCCTCGCCTCCGCCAGCCGCCAAGCCAAGTTCCTTCTGGCAGGAGCCCGTGCAGGCGTGCCCGGAGGCAAACAGAGTCTGCTTGCTGATGCTTGCCGAGCATCTCATGCAGGAAAGGACCCACATAGGAGCCTCAGATACAGCATGGACCGCTTGACTTGGGACCAGGAGAGCAGTGCTGACTTAGGGCAAAAACCTGCTCAATATCGCTCAGACGGCTTAAGCTCAGGTGAACGTGAATGAATGCCAAGTCAGCTGTTGAGTCAACGCTGTTGAGATGCTCGCGAGGCAACGATTTGATCACGCTGCTTGAATCGACTTGCGAGCAACTTGCGCAGGATTTGAGCTTCGGTTCTGCATCGGAGGCATCAGCGAAGAACTTGACGGAGGACTCCACGTGAAGAGCTTCGCGAGGACGCCTCGAAAGCGCGTTCCAAGCTCACACATGTTGAAAAGCACGACGCTCTTCCTGGGCCCAGTGCAAGCAGACCAACTTCAGCTGCCCAGCCGTCTGCCTCGAGTTTGAGACACGAACACCATGACCAAAGGTGAGAACTCGCAGGCATCTGAAGAACCTCGAGTTCGTCCCGCTGCTGAGTTGAACGGCCGACAAAGTTCGCTGGGTGTTCCAGCCCGGGCCCTCCTGCTTCGCTCCGCGCATGCATATCTTAAGGTCTTCCCAACTGAAATGGTCTCCTCCAACCAAAACTGCGTCAGGGCTGCAGCATAGAAACCTCGAGTTGAGGAGCCCGGGCCCTTCTTGATTTCTTCCCCTACCCTTGTCCGGCACATGCTTCGAAGACGAATGCTGGTGCCGCCGCTGCAGCCGGGGTGCCAAGCCGCTTCACACCCGACTGCGCTTCCAGGTTCTGAAGAAGGGGCTTCGGATTCTTGTCCAGAGATGCCAGCCAATCCTTATGACACTGGGAGATCAGATGGTCGCGTAGGGCTCCGTTCTGCTTTGAAACAAAGTCGCAGCTGTGGCCTGGTCTGCGGAGTCTGGAAGACGCAAAAGCTCCATGCCGGCCTGTGGGAGAAGTGAGTTGAAAGCCAAAGCAGGGAAAGCAGGGATGATCACCACCGGTGCCTCGTCGGAAAGCACTGGAGGGGCTCGAATGAGCCATGAGAGATCTCGCACAACCTGAAGCAGGTCGTGGCTCCGCGTGAAAACTCAGGTCGAGCAGTCGGCCTTGCGGTTGTAGCCTCTTGCACATGTCGGGCTCATACCGACGAGACCATGGCGGCAGAGGCAGCAGAGGCATGCTATGGCCGTGTTGGGCTCCAGTCGACACTACTTCGCTTTCTCTGATGGCTCCTTTCTCTTCACTTCGGTGGCACAAGCTACCGCAGGTGCTTTCCTGCGAGTCTGAGAAGCGATGTAGCGATGTCCTACGAACAACGACTATGCAAGCCAGTAGCCTGGTGTGCTCACTGAGCGTTTTGGGGAGTATGAGCTGCGACGTTCTTCGTTGCACCCAGCCGATTTTGCAAAGAGGCTTGAGCCTGCTATCAAGCTCTACAACGTTGCAAGAGCATGGCCTAGTTCAGAAGTCCTAGCTGTGGCTGTCTCTGCTCTCGTCTCGGCGTGCCTAGAGGCTAGGACGCTGTCGCGAAGGTCCTCCGTACTGGCATCGCCACCTTAATGCTTCAGGCTTGACCCGAAGCAAATCCACACCGCTTGGACAGTCCACCACACACGAAACCCTTTGGATGCAAAACAACTGGATGTACGTCGAAAACTTAAAAAGAAGAAAGCAGGCAATTGTCGACCAAGGCTCCCAAGGACAGGATCACGGGCCTCTGCTGATGCCCTGTTCTGCGAAGGGTGTCCAGTGCTGCGCGCTCCAAGATGCCGCCCAACCGCACAGGCTTGTCAATGCTGTCGATAACGCTTCGAAGGAAGACCTTAGGTGCTTGTACTCTGTAGACTTGCAAATACCATACGAACAGGTTCGTGCTGTGACGTCGCCCGGTACCCTTAATAAGCCGCAAAGGTGCAAGCCCGAAGGGTCATGCGTTGAAAGATGGCAGGGCATGCTTTTTCGATGGAAGACTGAAAGATGGCGAATGGATCGTGGAAAGCGATCACTGCTGATAGAGCAGATCGTGCGTTTCTTGTATCTGAGGCACCTTCCAGCAGAATGCTTGTGATTGTAGGCTTCTGAGTCAGGACCACAATAAGTCGGAGAGTCTCAGAGACAACAAGCTGAAGGCTTCGGGTTAAACCCTCAAGACCGACAGTCAGAATGCACAGTGATCTGCTGGTGCGAGCAGGCAGCGAGCGGCTGACGCAACACCGGCACCAACGAATTATCGAGATCAAGAGTTGCAGGCTACACGCTTTGAGCGGCACCTGCAGTTTCTTTTAACGAAGGTTCTGTACAAGAAGAGAAGGGGCGTGGCTGTTCAAGTCCTGGCACCCAGTTGCCCAAACTCCTGGCTGAGATTCAACGCACAGCTACCTCAGCTAGGGGACGGAGAAGGGCCGGTTGCTCTGACGAATTCGAAAACTGCTGCTCAAGTAAGAGCATGCGAGGGGCTGCATAAACACGTCGCGTGCACTGCAGCTCCTGCGTCCTAGTCGTACGTCGCGCTTGGTGAAACTCTCCTGCTTAGGAAGATGTGCTTTGCCCATCGAGCAATTCGCATCGGCATGCCCAAAGTAGACCTCGCCATGCTGGGGGCAGCGGAGAAGGCCTCTTCTGAAACCTGCACGATGTCTCAGACTCTAGTATATCTAGCTGCAGCTCTGTGGGCCTGTTGTGTGCTGTTCTCGCTCTCAACCCTTTCCCTCATAACTACAGTTTACCCTCAGAAAGGCTGGCAGTCGATGCAAGTTGATCAGAAAACACAGAGTTTCTAGACGATGGTGACAGACACATCACCAAAGCTAGAATCTAGACTCTAGACACATCTGGACTTTGAGACGCTGGCCTACCTCGAACTGCCAAAGGTCCGTGGCATCTTTCCGCTGGTTCAGCTCCTCCAAATACTCCATTGCATAGAAGTGAGCCTGCCTCTGCAAGTCTGCTGCGCTGCTAATTCCCTGACAGAAAGCCTCCACATGTAGTGCGACAATTCTGCTCATGCTGGTGCTTATCACATCTCCAGTGTGAGTCCACGAAGTCCACAGACACATTTCAGATATCCATGTTCCAACAGGAATATCTTGCGGATCTTTCTCCTTCTGGAGAAAAACCAGAGAACCGTGCAAGCTAAAGTAGCATGAGTCAGCGACGGCCCCAAAGCAGTACACTAGGTCATCTTCACCGGCATCCAAAATTGCGATCCCCTTCAAGGCGATGTTCTGCAACACATGGCCTTCCTGGAAGCTCAAGTTCTTGTCAAGAATCTGGCGCAGGAAAGGCTGCCTGGCCAAACAGAAATGGTATCTTGCAAATTGCAGCTCGGCTTGTAACGACGTCGACAGCAGACTCAGAATGTGCGGCTGTTCTTGCGACTGCGACTGAGCTTCATAATAAGTGTAAGATAGGAACCGCGTGATTCTCTGGCTTAGGCTCGGCGGCACGTTGTTGTTTCGCAAGAAGCGCCGCAACAGACCAAACTGATGTGTTTCCTCCATTCTTCGTCTGTGAAGGGCACTGACGAGTGAGGTCATGGAGCTGATAACCGTTGAGGAACTCATGAGGGATACAACTCCCACGAGAATTGTGTAGACACCCTCGGTTTCGGTGACGGCTTCAAGCTGCGTACCCCCGATTCCAAGCTGTGCGAAAGACCAGCGCAGGCTGGCAGTGTACTGCTTGAAGAAAGTCTCGTCGCGAATGCGTGATGTAGTGAGCCAGGTTCTTGCAGCGGGATCGTGTGAGCCGAGACCGTACCAGCAGCATGCCATCACATGCTCAAGCAACAACATACCAAGCAGGACCAGGAGCAGACTGAACTGTATCGATGCCACCTGCGATTCGAAGTAGTCGCGCAGGAAAGCAGACACGCGTGTGAGCTTCCCGAGGCGGATCAATCGGAAAAGCCGGAGGAATCGTAGGATGCGCGTGGTCGATGGACCCTCCGCATGGCTCTCATCCGAAAACCAGATGAACAAGTCGGTCACTGTGACTGCCAAATCTGGAACAAACCATGTGCAACCATAGTGTCGCGCAATCCGGGAGTAGCTTTGCACGAGGCTACCTTTGTCCAGGAAGCCCGTCATGAATGAGATGGGGATGTCGGCACACCAATACAGGAGTGAAGCATTCGACATGGCGAGAAAGATCGGAAACATGGAGTTCAGGTTCACTTGCGCGAGCTGGAGCGGTATGACGACGGCATCCTTCATGAGCAAGAGAATGCCAAGAAAGTCCCAGGCGTTTCGAAAATGGCCTGTGGGACTCAACACATATGGCACTCGAGCTTCTGCAACGACTTGCATCGACTTCGTAACCTCTGCCGACAGGCTTCTCCGCCGCCGGGGCACGTGCGATCTCGACCTTTCTACCCAGCAGCTGCGTGGCCAGTAGCCCTGGAAAGTTTGGCTCGGCTCCTGGCTGTTCTCGCCGAAATCACCAAGAGAAGACTCGGCCAGGTTGGAAGAGCTGCGCGGCGGAAAGCCAACGCGCACAGCAGGAATGATGGGCAACAGCTCATCTGCCTCTCCGTGGAGGTGCTTCGGCAGTACTTCGTCCAGGGCCGGCAGCTCATCCGGCAGGCTTTTCGTCAATGCCGAAGCTTGTAGAGGCTGTGGAGGTGCAACCTCCGAGCTGCGCGAGCTGCGACTGTGTGACCATAGCTTTTTGGAATGTGTCGCATGCTGTATCGCATCGGAGGAAACCGCCCTCCCACTCCGGGGCCCTGTGACTGCCTCATAACACTCTCCCAGTCGCCGATGAAGCTCCCAGAAGTCCGGCCCTGGTGCTCGCCACGGTAGCTGCCCAGACAAAGGGGCGCTCTCCTGAAAAAGCTTGCCTGACAGAGGGGCGCTCGCATCGACTCTAAGAGAGCCTGGCGTCATTTGATTCTGCATGGCTCCTCAGTCCTAGAGCTAGCTACTTCACCATGGCCTCGGCGGCATAAAGACAACAAGTCTTGAGCCCGGCAAATGGAAGGCATGGTCAAGTCCACCAAGGCCTCTTCCGAGTCTTTCAAGCTTCTCCCAAGGTTTATCCTAGTGGCGACGTCGTAGGATGGCGTTGTGGACTCCGAGGAAAGCGCGAGCAGGAGCTGCGGCGCTTCCCTTCCCAGCTGTCGGGCCACCCAGGCCATGCGGGCGGCATCCCAGTCCGCACCCCCGACGGTTGCCAGCTCGGGCCTGCAAGCAAAAAACAGGCCCCTGCGATACATGTGTGCGTGCATGTGTGTCTGTATGTGTGCTTGCATATACAAACATAAAAGTAGTCTTTGGCACTCGCTCTCGACGAGGTCAGGCGAGGATCCCAGGAGACAACAACACTAGCAGCAGAGTTCGATTGAACCCCATATATATATATATATATATGCTCCCCCCCCTCAAAGATCTGCGCGTTTTGGCTTTCGTCGGAAAGAACCCTCTTAAATATGACTCGTCCATTAGTCAGAAAGAACCTTTCCATTCCACAGCATTGCCTGAAACCCCTTGATACCCACACCACCAACAATATCATGTAGATGCAGTATGCGTAAACCCATAGGTATCTCTATGCATATGATACACGGGTGATGGACACAGAGCATAAACTTACAGGGCGAGGAATATACGAACATAAGCAAGCACGACTACACTTGTGAAGCAAGACAGACAACGACACTGTGGTG